CGGGTGCCCCCCAAGGGGCCCCCTTGGCCAAGAAACTCGCGGCGCGGATCTTCTGGCCCAGCAAGGCTGCTGCAGAACACTCACCCCCCGGTCTCGCGGGGGCAGGGGCTCCGAGGCGCGCAGGGCAGGGGCTCAACGGTCAGCGGCTCGTCGGGGTTGGAGAAGGGGGGGGGGGGGATGGGCGGTCGGCGATGGGGTAGAAGCAACAGACAGGGCGTACGTATGGGGTAGTCGTCACTTTCCTGCCTCACAAGGGCGGGGCTGTCCCGGAAAGTGAGAAACGCCGGGCAGCGTGTCGCGCAACTTTACCCTCCCATACGTGTTTGTGCTCCTCCTCCGCTGTACCATCTCTATCCTTCCCATAGGCAGGCGGGGTGAAATTCTGAAAAACGTGCAGCACTTCTAGCCGACATCGACAAAAGTCACTCTCTAGCCCCGCGGCGAGCGGCCCCGCCGGAGGCGAAGAAAATTTTGCCATCTAGCGCTCTCTAACACACATTTTTGCACAAATCGACGCCTCCAAACAAGTTCAATAAGACTGGTCTTCACTGCAGCACGCCTCGAGCGAGTAATGCGTCTGTAGGCCAATATAATAGAGCTTCTCGCGCGCGCTCCTCAGCTGGCGGTCCGCAGGGCCGCCCGGGCCGGGCGAGAAGCGCAAGCCCGCCAGCCGCACCATGTGATTCACGATGATGAGCGTCTCGGCCTCGAGCAGCGTGTAGGTAGGAGCGAAGCTTGCCCTCGCACTCGCGTTGCTCGAGCCTGAGCCACTGCGCCTTGACCACGAGATAGCCCGCGGGGCGCGGGGATGGTGTCGGTGTTGACGACCGTGTCCTCGGCCAGCGTGTACGCCTTCCCCTTGAGCACCGCCAGCCAGTAGAGCCCCTCGAGCGACTGCTCGCGCCGATCTGCGCGGCGACAGCGGCCTGGACAAGTCCGGCCAAGTCGGTTACGGGGAGGGCTACTACGAGGTCTTTGCGCGGGGGTGGTCGGGCGCCAGGCGCCCAGTCGATTGCCGCATAGTTCGTCGTAGTAGCCCTATCATAAACCTCTTATTCACACCTTGCACTTTGAAAAAAGAAATATCCGACCTTTGTCGAAGATCCGGAGGGTTTATCAGAGCATCACCCGGCGGGGCGGAGGGGCGGTGGGGGGGGCGGCGGCCGCGGGGTGCGGGGTGCGGTGCGGTGCGTGCAATCGTGTGTTTGGCGTCATGCTGTGTGTGCCTTCGCTTGTTCCTATTAACATCGAAGTCTAGCTCAAAACGGGGCACGGGGCAACGGGGCAGTCGGAGAAGGGGCAACTCCGTGCACTGACGGTCGGCCGTCAGAAAACACGCCTCCGTGGCTCGGGTTACACCAATCCTCGCTACCCAACGCGGCCAAAGGATATCCACCTCGAGAACCTCGAGAGAGCAGCTTGCAAGGGACCATTGGGCTTGTACTATTAACAACGAAGGCGCTCTCCATTCGCACAAATCCCCACTCGCAGTGGCGCAGAACCCGGTGGCGCAAAGCCGCGAGAGCAAGGCGGCGGCGTCGGCGTCCGATGCCTCTCGTCAAGCGGTGGCACGTCCCGCGCGGGCTGAGGCCGACGCTGACCGGCCGCAAGGTGCGTACGACGCTGATGAGCCGCGTCGAGCGCCAGCAGCGCGGCAACGTCGCGCCTCGGCCGCTCTGGTTTGACGCGGCGCTCGCGCACCCGCCTCCGCCAAAGTTCCAGCTGGACCGGCCTCCCGACCTGGCCTTCCCGGAGGACGAGCTGCGTCGCGAGTGGCTGCGCCGCAATCCGGCGGCGACGATGGTGCCCAAGGCCCTCTTCCTCGAGGAGGCATCCGTCCCGGACGAGCTGCGCCGCCACCCGGCCGACGCGTTTGTCGAGCGGCAGATGGAGCTGATCGAGGAGGGGACGGCGCCCGAGGAGGCGTACCGGATCGTGGCGGCGGAGCAGGAGCGCGAGGGCGACGTGCGCGCCCTCGAGGAGCGCACCGCCCGCGGAGTCGCCGCCGCCCTCGGCGCCGCTCTAGAAGCGGAACCTCGAAAACACCGGTCGCTGCATTCAAACCCCCGAACACTCGAGAGGACCGTCTCCGCGCGATCCGCTGAAGACACGGCACGAGGCCGAGGGTTCGCGCCCTGACTCTGGCGCGTGTT